CAGAAAAACAGTTCCTTCTGTTGCTTACAATCTGCATTAATTCTGCTGTTCATTGTGAAAATAATTCAATTTAATCTGTTAAAAAGTATGAATATGTGTGGAACAAGCTAGATTCAAGTTACAATGTATGAGACTGAAGCAACCTGGTTATTGTGCATTTAAAACTTGATTATTATTACAGAAATCTCATTGTTGTTTCATTTATGTATATACCATTAAGTTTCTTAGTTTGTTTGCGTTAAATCTGTGTAATCCACATGGATGAAATGCAAATAAAATACTAAATTTAGGCTTAAATTCTTTTGTTGTTAAATTAAAAATGACAAATAAAAAATAATATAAACTGAATAATACTTTGAATTAATTCTAATTAGGCAGATACTATACAATATGATATTTTTCAACTTCTGAAAACAAAACTGGACATTTCTTTCACTCCATTGTATTTTCAGTAGTGTGATAAATCAACAGACCTATTTGTGGTGATATAATAAATTGTTTGATTGCTTTTGTTTACATTTAGGATATTGTATTTTTATCCATTACTCCAATCATAAAAATTGTCAAAGTGATTTCAGATTAGAATGTCTAATATGTTTTAGGATTGTTAAAACTGTATGCTTCATTTGGAATTTTGCTGCAATAAAGTAATGTTTATGTCATGAGGAAATGTTACATTTAAAAATATACCATTTAATAGAATCGCAGTTCCATTTTTATTTCAAATAATCTTTGAATATCACTGAGGTGGTTTTAACTGTGGACAGTGACAAGAACAAGAATGTTATAAGTGAGTTGATAGCTATACGCTGATTTCACGCAGCCGCCATTTTGAAATCGCTCCGGTGGGAAGAAAACCGGAAGTGTCGCCTTTAATCATAGGAGAGTCGCGAATGCGATGGTGTATTGTTGTGTTTAATGTTGAAATTAGTTATTCTAAAAATGTACATACATTTCTTTCATGCTTTAGACTATATACAGTGAAATTCATTTATAAATAAAATTATTTTTTTATATATAATTCAGAACGTAAAAAAAGAAGCAGGAACGAACTATATGTGACCCCGCCTGTGAACCCCCGGCTAAAGTCGCAGAATCTAATTATGAGTAAAAGAGCGTCAAAGTAGTCATAGCCATAAAAATGAAAAAAAAAAAAATAGGTCATGTGTGTTTATTGCTGTAAATGATAGATTATTCCAAGGGCTTTGAGATGCAATACTCAAATTTTCCTTTATAACATGATAAATACTAAAATTAATGATTTTATTGACACTACGTTATACTTTTGCGAAAAAAAAAAAAAACGGACGCGGGCTTCCTAAACATTGATTTCAATCGTCTCTGGGTTTATTTTTCGGCGCAACAACACCTGCTGATTCTTATATCATTCAGTTCAGGGACTTCTTTTCTACTTATTTTCTATTAGAAATAGTAAACAGACCTTAATATCAATCCGCACGAGAGGCAATCAGGTCAACACAATAGTGATGGGAAGTTCGGTTCTTTTCCGCGAACCGGTTCTTTCGGACAGTTCGTTTCAATGAACCGGTTCAAAAAACCGGTTCACCAGTTCTTTTACGTCCTCGCGTAATGACGTCAATTATATCATCCCGGCGGATAAAAATACTTTAAATTAAAGGCATTTGTAATCATAACTTCACTTAAATAATAGTACTCATCGTAATAATCCTCTTGGATAAGTTTCTTACATTTACATTTTGCAAACGAACCCTGTAGCCTACAGGCGATGTGCAAACGCGGATGTTTAACATGTCTTAAATATATAAAGTGCATAAGTGGTCTTCATCATTTTATTTGTAATAAACTTACATTTCGCCGAATTCGGCCCCTCATTTAAGTCCTCGGTTCACCCGTGCTGCGTGCTCATCAGCACATCATCAGTTGGCTGAAAGAAAGTTCTGTTTAGAGACGGTGCTATCACGCATGCTCAGTATCTCCAGCTCATCGGTTCTCCGTATCGAACGTGTCCGAAAGAAACAGTTCTCGGTTCTGTACTGGTGATTCAAGAACTGCAACAACCAGTTCTTGACTCCAGAACCGTAGCATAGGCTGTGTGCTGAGCTGAGAACTGCTGAAACCTGAATATACAGTCGACAAAACTAAAAAAATCGATGCATGTCTTTCTTCTCCAATATGTTTAATACGTTATGTTTTAACACATTATAAACATTTACTAAGCAGTACTGTGCAGTGTGCACCATTAAAACTTTGGCAAGAGTTTACATCAAATATTTATATCAACTTACTTAGAAATTAAATGAGCAGTTCCTGAAAATATTATTTTAATAAATGTTTAGTTTGACAGGTTTACAATCCATTCATTGTGTTTCCAAACTTTAAAATAATACAGTGATAATACAGTAATTATGTGATAAACATGTTTCCAACATGTTTTTTTTTATTACACTTACTGATGTTCAACTAAATAAATACTTAAGAAACGTACATTTCGTCCTTCAGAAAAAAATTGCACGCGTGCTCAGCTCATCGATCAGTTGTTCTCATTATGTCGAACGTGTCCGAAAGAAACAGTTCTCGGTTCTGTACTGGTGATCCGATAACCGCTGTACATGTGCGTTCGGTAGTACGCGCATGCGCAGTATCAGCTCGTGCTCATCACTCTCAAAAACAGCACGTTTCAAACTGTTGGATTTACTGGAGTGAAATATACTCCGGGATATTGGTTTATTTCGAGTCAGAGGGACTGTCAGGCATGTCTGAAAGTGAGTAACTTTAGTAACTTGTGTATCAGCACTAACGCAAGACGCGAACTGTTTCGAACGATTCAGTCCGATTTAGTGTACTGGTTCGACCGGTTCACTAAAAAGAACCGGTTCAAAAGAACGATTCGTTCACGAACCGGCCATCACTACAACACAATGAAAAAAAAATGCGACTTCAGCCGGGTTCAGATGTCTGAGGAGATTTTTCGTGTCATCGCCAAACATTTAAGAACAGCTTATTTTTTTTTGTAGCTCAGTATTCTGCCAATAAGATTAATCTTAACAGTTTAGGCCTGCTATGTGTCAATAATATAATTTGTTTGCTGGAGTAACGTTACTGCGTCATTTTGACATCTGACATGGCAGCACCGAAGCATGAGCAGGAACGTAAAATAGCGGATTGCTTAAACAACTTGTTAGATATTAATCTCGGTGTAATTGCCCAATTTATGATTTAACCGGTTTTATAGCGGATTATTTTCTGGAGGATAATGAACAGGACACACTCTTTGACGAAACTGACGAGGAATTTAACGGTAAGTTTTTGTCATTCTTGTTTGTCAGTGTTCAGCCAATGTAACGTTATGCTAACACATAATCCATGCTGTGATGCAAAAATAGTGGATTTAAATGTTTATTACATTTGTTGATTGAGATTGAGTCAGTTTAAATTAATTACGTTTATGACATGATGTTTATTTGTTTAATTAGGCTACACTCTGAATTGAAGCCATGGCCATATATCCATAGCCTACCTGTTTCTTGTCCCTATCTCATCCCCTCAATTAATCAGATTCAGTCTGATATTTTCATATAAAAATGATTCATTATCCAATTTAAATGTGTATTTACATTTAAATATATCTCATATCTACATTTAATTAATATATTACATTTAAAATATCACATATCTCATAAATCCATTTAGATCTCTTGCTTTTAATTGAACAAATTCTCCTTGTTTTTTCAGGCAGTGACCAACATGATGATGAGGACGATCTGGTATGCCCTAATCCAACAATGCAGAACAAGGTTCAGAGTGACGAAAACAACAAAGTTGTCCATGCAGATGTGCTGACTCCTGCTCCACCCCACACCCATGGTGTTAGAAGACCAAAAAAGACCCCACATGGTCTTGCCAAAAAAAAATGAAACTGGCTTAGCTTAATTGACTTAAGTCTCTATGGAGCTGCTTATGTTCATACTCTTATTTCCATCTAGACAATTTTATATTTTGCATCTGGACAATTTTAGAATGTGTAAAAAATTTGAGACTGACCTGTTAAAGGGATAGTTCACCCACAAATTAGAATTCTGTCATCATTTACTCCCCCTCATGTTGTTCCAAACCTGTATGAGTTTCTTTCTTCTGCTGAACACAAAATAAGATATTTTAAAGAATGCTGGTAACCAGACAGTTGGCTGCACCCATTGACTTCCATAGGTTTTTTTTTTCCTTCTATAGAAGTCAATGGGTGCCATCAACTGTCTGGTTACCAGCATTCTTTAAAATATCTTATTTTGTGTTCAGCAGAAGAAAGAAACTCATACAGGTTTGGAACAACATGAGGGGGAGTAAATGATGACAGAATTCTAATTTGTGGGTGAACTATCCCTTAAAATTGTATTTATTTATTTTTTACTCCAGATTTACTCAATGTTACACCATGGCTCAGTAAGAGAATGAGATTTTCTACCAAAATGTTATATGTTAATTAATTGATATATTATTGATATTATATTTTCACTGATATTTCATTTTACTAATAAAGTTTTACAAATCATTCAACTGAATTGACATGGTAATTGTTGCTACAATCAAACTCGGTGGCCCCATTTGTTTCAATGTTTTTATTAGAGGTGGGCATAGATTAATTTTTTTAATCTAGATTAATCTAGATTAATCTTGGAATTAATCTAGATTAATCTAGATTAAAATGGCTCATTTGAATTTTGCCGAAGGCATGCAGAATATGTGTGCTACCCACTAAAAGTAAGTCCTTGAGAATGGGTTTCTCAAGCCAGGTGGCGCATTAGACCAGGGGCTCGTCTCCTGTTTCCAAAATGCATCACAAACTGCTTGAGAAAGCTGTTCTACTATGATAATTGGTGATGAAAATAAATCATGCTCAATCAGATGTACTTGTTTACTAACTGTTTATTCAGTTAAACATGAATTTTGAACTGTAAGGCCTACATAAGAGGTCGTGATGAACTGTTTTACAGTCAGTAGCTTTGTGTCAATCAGTCCAAGCTCTATTTCTCCTTCTTCCACCAGTCACTCAGGCAGACCAGCTTGTTCACATTTCCTGGTGACAAACTAGATCTCCTCTTCTGCACAATATGGCCTGCTAAAGAAAAAAGTCTCTCGCATGGGACAGTTGTGGCAGGAGTCCCCAAGTATTTACGGGCAATGTGGGCCATCTTACCATAGACAGCAGTGTGCTCCGACCACCACTTCAGTTGACACTGATCTAGACTGGCACTGGGCTCTGCCTTGTACCTCTCCACAGTATTGTCTTCTGGTGTCTCCTCATCTGATTCTGAGTCTGATCCCATCAGTAGCAGGGCTGTTTTCTTCTTGGGTGGCTCAGGGTTCTCCTCCCAGAGTGGCTGCAGAGCAGGTTTTTCTCCCTTCACCAACTCACTTAGCTTTGCCCACACTGATTCTCTCTCTGCTCTGGGCAAGCACTTGAGGTCCTTAAATCGTGGATCTAGAGCAGTCGCCACCTTTGATGAATAAAAAATAATAATTATTGATTGATGAATATTTCACTTTCCAAATCCAACCTCCATATTTCTTCATGACTCATTCATCTATTCATTGACCGATCTACTGGCTTAACAGTCTATAATGGTCAAACAATGCAGTTATCTTCTGGATCAATCTGACATACCTTAAGCCATTCCAGGTTTATTTTCTCGCTCCGCTGGTTAAGGTCCTTGGTGAAGGCAGCCTTGAATCGCACAATATAGGCAGGATCATCATCTGAGATCTTCATCGCGTGCTGGAGGTGGCACAGGGCAGGTAGAACCACAGAGCAGGATACATATTTATCCCCACCAAGGAGCTCAGTAATGTACCTACACACACACACACACACACACACACAGACACACACACACACACACACACACACACACACACACACACACACACACACACACACACACACACACACACACACAGAAACAGAGCAATAAATAATTAATGACTGATTCATTTAACTCAGATTACACATTTTTAAAGTTCTTAATCACATTACATTTAAGGGCATGTGTTTCTTAAATACAAAGTGACATTTAAAATAACTTGTATGCCAATTCATTTGTAGACCATACCTGCATGGCTCCAGCAGTTTCTCTAGCTTTGCCAACTTCTCATATTCAGCATTTGTTGGGAGGGCCAGATTGTGCTTCTGCTGAGACAGCGTTGTGTGCAGTGCGTCTCTGTTGTGCATCACGCGCTTGATCATCTCAAGGGTGGAATTCCACCGTGTTGGAACATCTTGCACGAGTTGCTCCTGAACTTGTCCAAGGGAGGCTTGCTGGACATTCAGCTCGTCTGAGTTGGCCGGACTATGTTTGAAATGTCCGACCACTTTACGGCACTTGGCCAGTGCACCATCAAAACCACCTTCCCGAAGTGACATTACAATAGCTCTCTGTACAACATGCGCAACACAGGGCAAATGCTCGAATGGCAGTATCCTCCCTGCTGCCACCATATTAGGAGCGCTGTCTGTTCCAAGAGTGCTGATTTTGTCAGCTATCCCCCACTGATTAGCGACGTCGAGAAACTGCCTGGCACACGCTTCTGCAAAGTGACGCGTCTCTGTTTTAATCACACCTAACGGACAGACAAAGTAAATCAGAATAAGTTAACTACTAGTAAACAACTAGCAATCATCAAGAAGCAAACATAATGTGGTGGTACTTCGGGATGTCGTGGTAATTAATATGCTAAGTAATTAAATTAAATTATGTAATTTAAAATTACATAACGTAGCCTACCTAAAGCGAAGGAATGAAGTTCCCAGCTGGCATCGATGATGTGTACAGTAACGCCGAGGTAGTTATCGTTGTTGACAGATGTCCAATGGTCCCCAGTCAGTGCTACAGACCTCGCCTCTACCATCTTCTCATCTTTTGCGGCTTTCTCTGTGGCGTGCTGGTCATGTATTCTCCTCATGATAGTTCGCCTCGCAGGTAGTTTGTAAGATGGGTCACTTGTGGCCGTCTGGAGAACAAGCTCGAGCCCATCATCTTCAACCACGCTGATGGGCCAGCAGCTGGTGGCAATCCACTGAGCGAGGAGATTAGTTAGCTTGGCTGATAGAGCTGTGCTGACGGGCTTGCCTCGGTTGCACTCAAACAAAGTAGTTTGACGACGACTCTTCCCCTGCGCTACATCAGTGCTTGGCCCGGCATCAACCGCATTAGCTAAGGGATGCTTTGCGTTTAGGTGGTACTTGAGACTGGAAGAACTCCTACAGTAAACTAATTCCGCATTGCATAAGGTGCAAACAACCTTAGTTTTGTCGATGTTTCCATTGGGAAGCTTCTTAAAAATAAATTTTCCCTGAAGCAAACCTGGCGGCTTCATAGCTGCATCCATGTTAGCACGTTTGATGTGGTAATTTCACAGTAGGCATACACACACACACAGATTCGAAGACTCGTTCTCGCCCCCTACAGTGCAATTCGGCTAGGTATACATCCGCGCTAAACTATCAAGGTGAAAGTCATCATAGCTTGCGTAGTATAGACTCAGCTCCCAACCCAACTTTGAGAATAGATTAACGGCGATATTTTTTTTATCGCCCGATAAGAGTCTCACGTTAACGCAGCACGTTAACGCCGATAACGGCCCAGCACTAGTTTTTATGCTTTTAGCTTTTTGGACATGCGCATCATAATGAATAGGTCTGTTTTACAAAACTGTAAGAATTTTCCCATAAATGTGTCATTATCACTAAAAAGGGGAGAATCTCAGCTTTAATGTGGTATATGGCACATATGGAGGATAATTATGGATCAAATGTGTTAAGTTTTAAAAATAAGCTTTTTTTTAAATCGGAATTTCTCAAAAACATGATTTTCTGAGCCTGAGATTCAGCAAATCTTTGACATAGCCTTACTCAGTCAATATTAAAGATATCAATGTTTTATTTTCACAGAATGTTCTTTACATTATGTAGGACGATTTTATGTAGAAAACAGTAAATCACAAAAAAATTACTTTAGCTGGGTTTTCACAGGCAGGGTCACATATACATATCCTATATTGGATATTAACATCCATCCGTGTAGATCGCGGCAGCAGCTTCAGGTTGGTAGTCCAAGGCATTGTTGTCTATCTGTACTTCCGGGGTTCTTCCCACCGGAGCCTCGCTTTCAATATCAAAATGGCGGCTGCGTGAAATCAGCGTATTGGATTCAATCTTTTTGTCAACTTGTTCTCTTTCAATTAGGACTGGTTTTATATTTCTATTTGCATCTGATTAATCGTAGGCCTCATTTATCTGAGAGTAGGCATCTAATTGTTTGAGTAAAAAAAGCATTAGGCCTATTTATGAATAATTTTCACAATATTAAATAAAATATGAAAAAAATGTGCAAAAAATGTGCACTGTTGATCACACTAGTCTACTTTAATGTTTCACCAGGGAGTTTGTTTTGAAAAACTTTTATTTTGTACAAAATGGCACAGAGTTACACTTGTGGTGTTCCAATGGGCCATTGAGGGTCATTGTTTCAATGGGCCATTGAAAGTGAACGGGAGAGACTGAAAATAAGAGAAAAATTTTGTTTTCAGGAGCATGTTCATTATGTTCATGTAAACATATGCGCATGTGTGCTTGCAAACATCGAGCCCTTGGACCTGTGCATGTGTGGATACATGCATACACACGCTATCCAAATACACACACACGTTAAAAGACACAAACTATTTTGAGTATTACACATATATTCTTTTTCACAGAGAAAAAACTTTATCCTACCCTGAACTGCATCTAATATCCATTGATCTATCTGACATTCATTCACACACACACACACACACACACACACACACACACACACACACACACACACACACACACACACACACACACACACACACACACACACACACACACACACACACACACACACACACACACACACACACACACACACACACACACACACACACACACTCACTCACTGGATTTAACCCAGAAGAAATGGGTTTCAAAAGAATCTTTCTTTCATGTTCTTTGTTTCATGTTCTTTGTCATCCTGCATCACGTCCTCCTCACTAGAATCTTGATCAATGATCTGATGAAGAACATCATGCACAGAGAGCTTCTTCGCGATTGTGCTGCGCCTGCTACCAAATGAATGACAAGCAAAACACTGTGAAGCATTTATATGTGTCTGTGCTATAACATCTATATTTGTACATTTTAGTCCAAAAACAAAATGTCATAATATTTTGTCTGAAACCTGTGATGAAACAAAGAACATGAAAGAAAGATTCTTTTGAAACAGGGTCACTGTGGACTAAATCCAGTTTGCGCATACATGTCTGTCTGTGTGTGTGTGTGTGTGTGTGTGTGTGTGTATATAAATGTCAGATGGATGAATGGATATTAGATGCAGTTCAGGGTAGGATCTAGTTTCTCTCTGTGAAATAGAATGTGTAATACTCAGAATAGTTTGTGTGTTTTAACGTGTGTGTGTGTGTGTGTTTTGGAAGCGTATGTATGCATGTATCCACACATGCACTGGTCCAAGGGCTCGATGTTTGCAAGCACACATGGACATGTTTACAGAACATAATGAACCTGCTCCTGAAAACAAAATTTTTCTCCTATTTTCAGTCTCTCCCATTCACTTTCAATGGCCGGCTATTTTTGACCGTGAACACCACAAGTATAACTTTGTGCCATTTTGTACAAAATAAAAGTTTTTCAAAACAAACTTCCTTGTGAAACATTAAAGTAGACTAGTGTGATCAACAATGCAATTTTACTCAAAAAATGAGATGCCTACTCTCAGATAAATGAGGCCTACGATTAATCAGACGCAAATTGGAAATATAAAACCAGTCCTAATTGAAAGAAAACAAGTTGACAAAAAGATTGAATCCAATATTGTGTGATAATATAGCATAACAAGTGATTAATAAGCTATTTTTTGTAGGCCGGCTATTTTTGACCGGGAACACCAAAAGTGTGACTGTGCCATTTTTTACAAAATAAAAGCATTTCAAAACAAACACCATGATTAAACATTAAAGCACACTAGTGTGATAAACAGAGCAATTTTTCTTCATATTTTATTTAATATTGTGAAAATTATTCATAAATAATGTTTTTTTTTACTAAAATAATCAGATGCCTACTCTCAGATAAATGAGGCCTAAGATTAATCAGATGCAAATAGAAATATAAAACCAGTCCTAATTGAAAGAGAACAAGTTGACAAAAAGTTTGAATCCAATATTGGGTGATAATATAGTTTAATGAGTACTATTACTAATACTATTGTGGTGACAAATATACGAGATAATATCATACGAAATTTGATCCAAAAGGACCATCAGTGATGTAACAGTACAAGCCACAGCATCACTGCAGCTGTACTGGGGCTTTGTGAGTGGATAATGCAAATAAAGAATCTTGCAATTCTGAAAAATATATCTTTGCATTTATTTTTGATGCTGTAAGCAACTTTTACAATCAAGAACTATTAAGTCTGATTCATATGACCAACTGTTCAAGTGTTTTAACCGATAAATACATATGCATACAGGTATCTCTTGTCTGCTGGGCATTTCACTTTTAAATGCTTGATATGATCTCTTTGGAATGCAACAACCTGTCACACATTTAAAAAGAACCCACCTGTATCTTCTCTACAAACAAAGAAAATCGTTATGCATCTATTTAATGTTTAAAATACTATTTATAATGCTCTATAGATCATTAGATCAACAGAGCTGCTCCTATGCGTCATTAAAACAGCTTGACCCGAAGAACTGAGAAAAGCTGTTGGCTGTAGTGTATTTCACTATGGGCAACGCCCCAGGCGTGATAGACTATAGAAGCACCAATTACACCACATCTGTCCGAAGGACGGACCAATCACAGCTCATGACAAGGAGCCCACCCCTCTTTATATATACAGCGTTGATCCCTGAAACGGCATTCTTGTTCTCTTCCTCGTGAACACTTTTCTTCAGTACCTAGGCTGCGCTGCTTCAGTTCACAAACGTACCGTCAAGGTTGACGTTGCAAAACGCAGTGCAGTTAAAATTTGTTGTGGATTCTCTGCTCGTTACTGAGCTTCTCTATTTCGCCCTCATTGGCGGTATCTCCTAGCTAACTCGTTAAGGCGAGATAAGATTACAGGATACTCACCATGTTGGTGTCCAAGGTCGCCACGGAGAAAGGGAAGGATGCTCCTTTGCACTCGTGTCCGGCAGCATGTATGATCTAGGGCAGGGATCTGCATCCGATGTACATTGCATGCATGGGCATCAAGCATGCTCAGGCCACGCTGGTGGAAAGTTGCGTACACTGTCGTGTAATGCCAGTCAGGATTTTGGATGGCTGCATCTTCTAAAGACAATCTGTGTCTTTCTTCTGTCCCTCCTTCAGCTAAGGCTTCTGTGGATTTGAGGGGATTGTTCGGCCTGGCTGTTGCGGCGATGAGACAGTGGTGCGACCTTCAGAAGAAGGAAGGAGCACCGCATCCTCCTGTTCCCCTGTGTCCTGTTCCTCCGACGCAGAACAGTAGGATTTTGAATGCGTCCAGGACTGCAAAACCCCAGAGCGCAGAGCAGGCGGCTCACCCCACCGCTGCTTCAAACACTAAGCCGTGGGGTAAGCAGTCATTCGCGGCAGCTGCAAAGTCTAGGTTCGCTAACCCTTCCAACAAAAAGAAGAGGGATACCTAGGACGCAATCTATGCATGGGAGGGACGGACAACACCTAGAATTTTCTGTGATGTCCTCTCCCGAGTCCACCACGGCTGTTCCCCCACCTGCAAAAAAAGCGGAGGATGTGGAGTTTGGGTGAAAAAATGTTCAGGCCACTTCAAAAGTTGTGTACAGGCCAGTTCACCTCCTTCTCAACACACAAGGTTCCGTGGATTGCTGACAGCAATTCCACAAGTTCGAGTGCAGAATACTCAGCCACCAAAAGAATTTGGGCTGATGGGTACAAGCACAAGTTTTTCAAGTGTATTGTCACAAAGCACTTCAGCCCCTGGGTTCACAGCAAATTAAAAATTCTCTGTCGCATCCAGACTCAATGCTGGGGGCACAGGGAGACAAAAACAGGATAATAACAATGAACCAAGAGATAAATCGGTCTCTGAGTCTGAGTTTGTTTCATCTAGAAACAAACTTTGTTGTATTATTTTCATGTTATCACTGTGAAGCTGCTTTGATACAATCTGTATTGTAAAAAGCGCTATATAAATAAAGGTGACTTTTTTATTTTATTTATTTTACCTTTATTTAACCAGGAGAGAACCTCACTGAGATTAAAATCTCTTTTATAGGAGTGTCCTGGCCAAGATAGGCGGCCCAATTGTTCAAACACACATATAACAATAAAACAATACAACACACAATAAATTAGTATTAAAAATACAACCTCAGAAGCATTTGCAAATCAATAAATGTTTCTCTAGCGCATATATAAGTGTTCTAAAATTGCTGAAAGACACCAGATGATTCAGCTTCAATGTCATTTGTAGAGAGTTTCATTCTGAAGGTGCAGCATAATTAAAAGCAGTTTTACCTAAATTAGTTCTAACTCGAGGTACATGCAGATTGTAATAAAACTGTGAACGCAGTGAATAGTTACCTGCTACTTTTTGCTTAAGCATACAACAAAGATAAGATGGTAAAACCCCCAAAATTGCTTTGTATATCAATGAGTACCAGTGCATTTTCCTTCGTACAGCAAGAGAAGACCAAGAAACTGTATTGTATAATGCACAATGATGTGTGGAAAATGTGCAATTCGTAATAAATCTTAAGGCACCATGATACACAGCATCTAGGGAGGCAAGAATATAAGACGGAGCATGCTGGTACACTACATCCCCATAATCAAGAATCGGCAAGAAAGTCGCAGACACAAGCTTCTTCCTTGCATTAAATGAAAAGCAAGACTTATTTCTAAAGTAAAATCCCAACTTCTTCTTTAATTTTTGTTTCAAGTAATTAATGTGTGAAGTAAATTTTAATGTGTCATCAATTATGATGCCCAGGTATTTATACTCTGACACTAATGTAATCGGTTTTCCTTGTAAAGTTTGAAGAATAATAGAACTGTCTATGGAATTTCTAGAATTGGAGAACCACATGAATTTAGTTTTCTCAGCATTTAAGACCAACTTTAAAGTAAAAAACCTTGTCTGGATAGTATCAAATACTGACTGTAAATCTCTCAAAGCTTCTTGTTTTGTAGGCGCAGAGCAATAGATGACAGTGTCATCTGCATAAAAGTGAAACCTTGCTTTTTCAATATTAACATTAAGACAGTTTATGTATATAGTAAATAGTAATGGCCCCAAAACAGATCCTTGGGGAACTCCCTTAACCACTTCTTTTAAGTCGGATTTGATACCTTGCACCTGCACACATTGGGTTCTTCCCTTTAAATATGTTTTAAACCACGAGACTACATTAACTGACAATCCGACACTTCTAAGTCTATCTAGCAATATGTCATGGTCCACAGTGTCAAACGCTTTAGATAAATCAATAAAAAGACATGCACAGTGTTGTTTTTCATCTAAGGACCCTACAAGGTCGTTTATAACTTTTAGGACAGCCGTAATAGTGGTGTGTTTTTTTACGAAATCCCGATTGGTTGGTAGTCAAAAGTTTATGAATCTGTAAATACTGTGTCAGTTGGTCACTGATAATTTTTTACAAAAGTTTTGACAAAATACAAAGCTTTGAAATCGGTCTGTAGCAGTGTTGGGAACGTTACTTTAAAAAAGTAATTAGTTATAGTTACTCACTACTTGTTCCAAAAAGTAACTGAGTTAGTAACTGAATTACTCTATAATAAAAGTAACTCGTTACCAGGGAAAGTAACTACTTGGTTACTTACGTAACCTCAGTTCCCTGAGTTAGGGAACGAAGTATTGCGTAGCTATTAGGGATGTCAATTTTCACAAATTCCCATGATCGATCGTCGTTTAAATTAACGATCAATTAATCGATTAATCGTTAGCCTTAATACTGCAATATGCGTCTGCTGCAGTGCATATGGCCAACAGCATGACAGCGTCTGCAAATGCTGCTCAAACCGCTATGTTCCTCACCAAATTAATGAGAATGGTTTAAATCTAAATAAAGGGCTAGTAGGATTGTAAAATGTTTCAATGTGATTAATAATAATTTAAATATTTAATAATCAACTATAACGACTAATACAACGTGTCACCAACGCCGCCTCAGATGCGCTTGTCAGAATGTGTGACTTGTGGACGCGTGCTCTTCCTGGAACAACGAACTTAAAACGGCAACTAAACCCAATGAATTCACACAGATTTAATAAAATAGTGTTCTCATGTTATGTAATATGACAGTCCCAAATTAATCCTCGTTATTAGTCGTGCATTCTGCTTGAGCGGCGCGCGCTGAATGAATAACTTAACCGTGGAGCACTTTGCTAGCACGTTATTTAACTCAAAGAAACGCATCCTATGAGATTAATCAGATATATACAAAATAAACATAATATTACAAATTATATCTGCACAAAATGACGTGAATGCACAAGTGAACTTGAACTAAGTTACGTGCCATTCAGAATGACTCATGTTGTGGACGCGCTCTTCCTGGAACAACGCGACACGGCAACTAAACCCAAATAATTCACAATGTTTTATTACAATATTGTTCTCTTTATGTAATAAATGGAGGCCAGACCGTGCTTAAACAGAACTGTAACTTTACTCTGTATTCTCGTTGGCATAACACACGCGACCGCATACAGTCACTTCTCACTTCCCGTAATACACAAGAGACTCTCTTAAAGTGACAGCATAACATAAACTAGAACCTTCCTTAAAGGTACCATAACTCATTATCATAACATCTCTCCCCCCTAAGAATCAACGTTACCAACCCTTAACAGCCCAATCAGAATGTCTCTTTTTCTTTTTTTCTTCTTCAGTATCCCCATACAACTATTAAACAATTAACCCTACTATAACCTAAAGATTAAGCCTATTAGGTGCTTTCTTTTGGCGTCCTGATCTCCTTAAAGTCTCTGAAGTTTCCTCAGGGACGGTTGGTACACTTCCTGGAGGCACCAGTGCCCCCAGTGGCACCGAGACAGCTGTTACGTCAGAGTTCTCTCGTTTTTCAGCCCTTTCCACTTGATCCTCACACTCCTGCTGCTCCTCCACATGACGGCTCCTCACATGATCCTGATGGCGACGGACATCACGTCCATCTGACAGCCTCACTACACATGAGCGGGGACCACTTTTTCCCAAAACGGCTCCCGGCAACCAGCGCTGACCTCTGGCAAAATTCCTGACAAAGACCGTCTCACCTTCCCCGAAGCACCGTTCTCTTGCATGCTTGTCATGTCGCGCTTTCTGCTTTTCTTGCTGGATTCTCACTTTCTCCCCAACATCAGGATGCAGCAAATCCAGGTGAGATTTCGGTTTCCGACCCAGCAACATCTCTGCAGGCGCCAGGCCTGTAGTAGTCTGCGGTGTAATCCGATATTGGAACAGAAAACGAGAGAGGTTAGTTTCAACATTTTCCCCTGACATCTTCTTTAAACCGGTTTTCAACGTCTGCACCGCTCTCTCGGCCAGCCCGTTCGATGCCGGATGGAAAGGGGCTGTACGAATATGTCTAATTCCATTCCTCTTGACAAATTCTTGAAACAGCTCTCCTGTAAAGGTCGGTCCATTATCAGTTACCACCACATCCGGCAGTCCGTGTATTGAAAACACTTGGCGCAGTGCGTCAATTGTCACGCCAGCTGTAATGTTTTTCAAAATGTGTGCTTCCAGCCATTTTGTGCGAGCATCCACCATGACCAAAAACATACGCCCCATGAAAGGACCCGCAAAATCCAAGTGCAGCCTGGACCAAGGCCTGTTAGGCCACTCCCAGGGCTGAAGAGAAACGGGTGGGGGCATTTTCTGGTTTTCCTGGCACTCCCTGCAGTGTTGGACCTTGTTTTCGATATCCTGATCCATATTTGGCCACCAGACATAGGCCCTCGCTAAACTCTTCATGCGTGAAACCCCAGGATGGGCTATGTGGACCTCCTGTAAGACTCTGGCTCGCCCTGGCAGAGGCACCACCACTCTTGAACCCCATAAGATGCAACCATCCTGAACTGAGAGCTCATTTTTCCTTTTCTCAAAAGGTTTCAACTCCGCATCTGCAACAATGGATGGCCAACCCTGTAGCACGAATCTTTTGACTTTTGACAAGACCTTGTCCCTTTCTGTCCAAGCTTTGATCTGCTTCGCGCTCACTGGTGAGTCACTCAACTTTTCCAGCAGGAAAACAGTTTCAGGAGGCAGAGGAGTGGACACAGGGGTGTCTGGAAGTGGCAATCGGCTCAATGCATCCGCATTGGCATTCTCCTTTCCCGCTCTGTACACTATACGATATTGATAGGCAGACAATGTCAGTGCCCACCTCTGGATACGAGCTGATGCCATGGAAGGAACACTCTTATGCTCACTGAACAGGCTCATCAACGGCTTATGGTCCGTGAAAACTGTGAAGGAACGGCCATAGAGATATTGGTGAAAACGCTTCACAGCAAATACCACTGCCAAGCCCTCTTTGTCTAGTTGAGAATAACCCTTCTCTGCTTTTGTAAGCGTCCTGGACGCAAATGCAATGGGTTTCTCTGAGCCCTCCTCCATTATGTGCGACAGAACGGCCCCAATGCCATATGGAGAGGCATCACACGACACTGTAAGCTCCTTCTCAGGGTCAAAATGGACTAATACACTGGCTGACTGCAGCAGATTTTTGCCTTTGGTGAAAGCAGCCTCCTGCTCCCCTCCCCACTTCCACTGGCAATCATGATGTAACAGCCTGTACAACGGGCCCAGCACAGTTGATAGCTCCGGCAAGAACTTCCCGTAATAAGTTACCATCCCAAGGAATGACTTAAGCTCCGACACATTACCCGGCTTGCGGGCCTCCTTGATGGCCCTGACTTTTTCTGCCACTGGAAAGAGGCCATGGGCTGATATTTGATGACCCAGGTAGGTTACACTCTCTGCCTGGAATGTACATTTGCATTGTTTTAGCCGCAGCCCTGCCTCTGACATCCTCTTGAGCACCTGTTCGAGGTTACTGAGATGCTCCTCTTCTGTCTTCCCAGTGACCAGAATGTCATCGAGGTATACTGCCACGTTTGGAATTCTTTGCAACAGGTTTTCCATTGTTCTTTGAAAAATGGCCGGGCTAGACGCCACTCCAAACACCAGTCTGTTATATTTGAACAGCCCTTTGTGAGTGTTGATCGTGACGTATTGTTTTGACTCCTCATCCAGCAACGACTGTTGATAGGCATGACTCATGTCAAGCTTAGTGAAGGTTTTTCCTCCCGCCAGCATTGAGAACAAATCTTCCACTCTTGGAATAGGGTATGTCTCCAACTTCGCTGCTTGATTGATTGTCAGCTTATAGTCTCCACAAATGCGGACTGTACCATCCCCTTTTAGCACGGGAACGATTGGGGCTGCCCAGTTTGAAAATTTAATTGGCTCAATGATACCGAGCTGCTGAAGCCTCTCAAGCTCTTTTTCCACTTTATGCTTCATTGCATATGGGACAGACCGGGGTTTAAAGAAGTGAGGTGTAGCATTGGGCTCCACGCAAAGTTTCACCGTGGTACCCCTTAGGGTGCCCAGCTCATCCTTAAACACATCTGGATACCTCGCAACCACATCCCCAGCACAAAGCCCTTTTATGAGTCTTATCTCTCCCCAGTTTAACTGAATTTTACTGAGCCAATCACGCCCCAGCAGGCTCGGGCCTGTTCCCTTGACAACGAGCAAGCGAGCTTCAGCCGCCTGGCTGCCATAGGCAATGGTCACTTCCGTCGCACCCATTACCGGAATGATCTCTCCTGTATACGTTCTCAATGTAATGGAAGACTCACATAATGCTGGTGTCTGCTCATTAGTCCATAACTTCCCATAAGTCTCCTCACTGATGATTGATGCAGAAGCTCCCGTGTCAACCTCCATCTTAAGGTTTGCTCCATTAATTTTAATTGTTGCGTAAAGAGGGTCTGAACGAGTTTCACTCAAGGAACATGTCTCCTCTTGTTCAGTCTCCACTATGTGATGTGTCTTTAAGTGAGGTTTCCATCCACCCTTTGAGTTTTTCCCTGTAGATTTGTTACCTCTGCATTTCTTTGCCAAATGACCCTTCTTGCCACAATTATGGCACACAGTGTCTTTGAATTTACAAACATTTGCAAAGTGAGCTCCCCCACATCTGTAACATTCCACTGATTTCACTTTGACAGCCTTAGACACCTGAAAAATATCACTCTGAGCACTGCCACTTGCCTTCTGAATATCTTTCGCATGTAGTGCTGCCGACTCCATACCTTGTGCGATTTCCATTGCTTTTGCAAACGAAAGTGTCGCTTCCCCCAGCAGCCTGCGCTGAATCACGTCATCATTAATTCCGCACACAAGGCGATCACGCAGCATATCCTCCAGTACAGCACCAAACTCACAATGTTCAGACAGCTGACGCAGCTCAGCCACAAACTTTGAAATAGATTCTCCAGTCTTACGAAAATGGCTGTGGAACTTAAAACGTTGCACAATCACTGAAGGTCTAGGGCTGTGGTGATTCTGGACCAGGTCAATCAAATCTTTGTAAGCCAACTCTCCCGGTTTTCGCGGTGTTGCCAAGTTCCTCATGAGCTTATACGTCTTTGCTCCGCACACACTTAACAAGATAGAGCGTTTCTTATCTTCCTCCGTGATCTCGTTCGCGGCGAAAAAATGCTCCAGACGCTCTGTATACTCGAGCCAGTCACCATTTTCTTCTACAAATTCCCCCACTGTCCCGAACATCGCCATTTTGTCAATATAATCCGTTCCAGCAGGGCTTCCTCACTCGTGCCAACCCCTACGATTCGTTAGCAGAAGTGCGTTGTTTATCCTCGTCGCCAAATATGTAATAAATGGAGGCCAGACCGTGCTTAAACAGAACTGTAACTTTACTCTGTATTCTCGTTGGCATAACACACGCGACCGCATACAGTCACTTCTCACTTCCCGCAATACACAAGAGACTCTCTTAAAGTGACAGCATAACATAAACTAGAACCTTCCTTAAAGGTACCATAACTCATTATCATAACACTTTATAATGTTATATAATATGACAGTCCCTATAGTCGTTATTAGTCGTGCATTGCCATTTGAGCTGCGCGCGCTAAAGATCACGCTGCGTCAATTCTTAACCAAATGCATCCAATATGAGATAAATCAGATATAGATAGGCGCACACAAAATAAACTATTACAACTTACATTTGCACAAAACAAAAGGCAGCGAATGCACACGCAAACTTATAGTCATGATGAAGGTGTAAAATAGTCCCAAACATAACTCCGGCGCGCTCACTTACATGTTTCGCGGTTGAGCAGCACGCACGCGCATGAACCTGCTTAATCGATGATCGATAAGGTTTATCGATTAAACGTGTTATCGACAATTAATCGATCGTCGATTAATCGTTGACATCCCTAGTAGCTATACGCAGTGGGAAAACTCCTTTTCCTTGATTTTACTGAACCTTATGTAAAACGCATTTGCAGCTGCACAGCTAGCACATAGAGCGTCTCGCTCGCTCATAGGCTGTGCTGCAGCAACTGCACATCCAATGGCGCGGGCGCTCCTGACGTGTGACCAATGAGATCGCTCCACGTCATCACACGTCAGAGCCCGTCATAGGGGCGAGGCCTAGCCTATATAAGCCCCTGAACTCGCCAAAATAGCAGGTTTATACGACTGAAGCGACAAATACCCAGTTAAAATAGTGCGGTCGGCTACGCAATACTTCGTTCCCTAACTCAGGGAACTGAGGTTACGTAAGTAACCAAGTAGTTCCCTTTCGAACGGTCACTTCGTATTGCGTAGCTATACGCAGTGGGAACGCTATGCAAAACGCCGCACTGAATAACTGGTTGCCACTGCAAGCCATAAACCACTTAATATGTATACACTAGAGCCGACACCGTCAGGTCCAGGTGAATCCATCAGAATTACCCGATAGGGTCAAGAATATGAAAATACCACCAGCCTTAGCGGGTTTATAATACAAGATTTTTACCGGCCAGAAGCGGGTTTATAAACATATATATGTGAATGTGATTATGCACGGAACAAATGATGAAGGACCAGACACAGCCAAGGCCCTTATCATACAGAAAGCACCCTCGCCTGTAGGGAGGGTACTTCCAAATTATAGAATTTCATAAATGTGGACGGCGAGGCCCACCCGGCCGCCTCACAAATGTCTTGGATGGGAAAACCAGACGACCACGCCCACGACGAGGCCATGCTTCTGGTCGAATGGGCTTTTACACCTAAAGGGCAAACCTGACCCGCTGAGGTATAAGCCGTCGAAATGGCCTCCACTATCCATCTAGACAGTCTCTGTTTAGTGACCGGATCCCCCTTGGATCGACCACCAAAGCAGACAAAAAGCTGTTCTGATTGCCTAAACGATGCAAAACGCTCCAGATAGATTCTCAGCGCCCTAACAGGGCAGAGAAAGTTAACCTCCCCACCCTCCGTGGAAGGGGGAAGGGCTAACAATGTCACCACCTGTGCTCTGAACGGCGTTGAGAGCACTTTGGGTACATAACCATGCCTGGGTTTGAGGATGACCCTGGAATCACCAGGACCAAACTCCAAACATGCCGGGCTCACAGAAAGAGCCTGCAGATCTCCCACTCGCTTAATAGATGCCAACGCCAACAGGAGGGCAGTCTTCAGCGAGAGAAGTTTAAGATCCACCGACTGGAGTGGTTCAAAAGGTGGACCCTTCAAAGCCCCTAGGACCACAGATAGGTCCCAGGACGGCACAGAAGGAGGTCTGGAGGGGTTAATCCTCCTAGCACCCTTCAAAAATCTCACGACCAGGTCGTTTCTTCCCAGTGACTGGCCAGCTACCAGAACATGGTGTGCTGCAATAGCTGCCACATACACCTTGAGTGTGGACGGGGAGCGATCCGCGTCCAACAGCTCCTGTAGGAATGAGAGAACCACAGATATGTCACATGACTCCGGGTTCAGACGGTTTTTCGAGCACCAGCCGGAAAAAAAACCCATTTTGAAGCATAAAGGCGCCGAGTCGACGGGGCCCTAGCTTCAGATTTAGTATTCAGCACCTTCACAGGAAGGTCCCCGGATACCGGTTCAAGGGCCACACATGTAGGGCCCACAGGTCGGGTCGCGGATGCCACAACGACCCCTTTGCCTGCGTGAGGAGGTCTTTCCTCATCGGAACAGGCCATGGAGCTGCATCCGAAATCTGGACCAGCTCCGGAAACCACGGCTTGGACTTCCAAAGAGGAGCCACCAGAAGGACCGGGCACCTGCACTCCCTGACCCGTTTGATGACTTGTGGAATCATCGAGACAGGGGGAAATGCATACAGGGGGCGGTTGGGCCAGGCATGGGCCAATGCATCCCTGTCTTTCGAGAAGAACAGATCGTGAGCTTAGAATTATAAGGTTCTATCTCCACTTTTGGTCGAAATTGAGTTTTTGACATAATCTTATCCATTAGGTGTTTATTAATGCCTGTGTGGTGTTATTTTTGTAAAAAAAATATTTTGTTAGTAGTTATTAATAAAATAAAAAGGTTCCATCTCACAAAACAGCAGGGATGTAAAAACTTTGATGCTCAATATCTCAGAACTACCCTAAACGGAGATAGAACCTTATAATTCTAAGCTCACGAGATTGCAATGGGTGTTGTTCTCCGAGGCAAACAGGTCGACTTCGGCCCTGCCAAACACTTCCCATATCAGACTGACCGTCTGTGGGTTTAGGGACCACTCGCCGAGGGGAGTGTTGCCCCGTGAGAGCATATCCGCGCCCAGATTCTGGACGCCCGGGATATGTGTAGCCCTCAGAGAGCTCAGATTTCTCTGTGCCCACAAGAGGAGATCCCTCGCCATAGCATGCAGGCCACCTGACCTGACGCCCCCCTGGCGATTTATGTAGGCCACCACTGACATGTTGTCTGTGCGGACTAAGATGTGATGACCTTTGATGCTCGATAGAAAAGCATTCAGGGCCAGACCAATTGCTTTCATTTCCAGACAGTTGATGTGTAAGCTCTGTTCCGCACTCGACCAGAGGCCGGAAGCAGGCATGCCCTCGTGTAATGCCCCCCAACCCAGGTTGGATGCATCCGTAAAGATCACTTTCCTTCTGGAAATTGTCCCCATTATCACACCCTCTTGGTACCAGCCCTGAGCCCGCCAGGGAACCAGGGTCCTTAAACAACCGTGATTCACTCTGATGCGTAGGCTGCCTGACTGCCATGCATACGTTGGCACCCGGCGTTTCAGCCAGTGCTGCAGCGGGCGCATGCGCAGCAGTCCCATGCGGAGCACTGGCGATGCTGCTGCCATAAGACCCAGTAGTTTCTGAAATTTCTTCAGAGGCGCGCACTCTCGCTCTCTGAACGAGGATGCCAGCGCACGCACTGAGAGCGCGCGCTCTGGTGTGAGCCGCGCTCTCATTGACACCGAGTCTAAAACTATGCCCAGAAAGATCACACTCTGACAGGGTGATAGTTTGCTCTTTAAAACATTGATCGTGAGACCCAAGCATTCCAAGTGGCCGAGAATCAGATTTCTGTGAGCTATCAGTTCGCCTCTCGACTGCGCTAGCACCAGCCAGTCGTCGAGGTAATTCAGTACGCGCACTCCCCTCTGTCTCAGAGGAGAGAGCGCTGCATCCACACACTTCGTAAAAGTACGGGGTGCGAGAGACAGGCCGAACGGCAGAACTGTGTACTGATAAGCCTGTCCCTCGAAGGCGAATCTCAAGAATGGCCTGTGACGAGGGTTTATTTGAATATGAAAGTAAGCATCTTTCAGATCCATTGTAACAAACCAATCCCCCGGGCGAATTTGCGCGAGGATCTGTTTGATAGTTAACATTTTGAAGGGACGTCGCATGAGCGCCTTGTTCAAATGTCTCAAATCTAGTATGGGTCTGAGACCG